AGGTGGTTTGGTCATTTAGAGAGAATGGATCAAAGTTTGAATGACATGGAAAGCATATAAATCTATAGGGGAAGGAAAGAGGGGTAGGGGTCGTCCTCGAAAGGGTTGGAAAGAGGGGTAAAGGAGGTTTTTGTGGGCGAGGGCTTGGACTTCCAGCAAGCGTGCATGAGCGTGTTAGATAGGAGTGTGTGTGATGAATGGTTTGAAAAACCGACAAGTTGAAGATTGAGACACTTATGCAGCATATGGGAATGTTTATTCAGGAAACGTTTCGCCACACAGTGGCTTCATCAGTCCAGTACAAAGAGGGAAAGGCCCTAAGGAGAGGAGGATATGAGGTAATCAGTCACTCAGCCTGGATCGAGTGTTCAGTCCATCAATCTTGTAGAATGTACATTCTACAAGATTGATGGACTGAACACATCGACTCCAGGCTGAGGGACTGATTACCTCATACTCCTCCTCTCCTTACGCCTTCCTCTTTGTATTGGACTGATGAAGCCACTGTGTGGCGAAACGTTTCCTGAATAAAGATTCCCATATGCTGCATAAGTGTCTAGATAGGAGTGAATGGAGACGAATGATACTTGGGACCTGACGATCTGTTGGAGTGTGAGCAGGGTAATATTTAGTGAAGGGATTCAGGGAAACCGGTTATTTTTATATAGTCAGACTTGAGTCCTGGAAATGGGAAGTACAATGCCTGCACTTTAAAGGAGTGGTTTGGGATATTGGCAGTTTGGAGGGATATGTTGTGTATCTTTATACGTATATGCTTCTAAACTTTAAAGGAGTGGTTTGGGATATTGGCAGTTTGGAGGGATATGTTGTGTATCTTTATACGTATATGCTTCTAAACTGTTGTATTCTGAGCACCTCTGCAAAAGCAGTGATAATGTGTGAGTGTGGTGAAAGTGTTGAATGATGATGAAAGTATTTTCTTTTTGGGGATTTTCTTTCTTTTTTGGGTCACCCTGCCTCGGTGGGAGACGACCGACTTGTTGAAAAAAAAAAAAAAAAAAAAAGATGAAATTAAGACACATGCGCAACACTCGGGCATCCCTATCGTAGACGTTTCGCCACCACCTCTTCCTGCCTATATATAGCCGTCCTGCTCCACTTCTGGTTAGTGTGACTTTGTCAATGGTCCAAGTCGGACCAAAACGTCGTTGTAAGCTTCTCTCTTTTATGTGCGGGTTATTTGTGTACTGTATACTTATGTATACCTGTATCTAAATAAACTTAAACACTGTGCTGGCATGCAGGTACACATTAAAATCACTAAGAGTGTCTTATTAAGTCTTGAGGGTCCCATATTAAAAATAATAATACGCAAAAATAATTCTGGGGGTGCATTAAAAGGTTATTCGTTAATTAGTAAACATTTTCTTTAAATCCATCTTGAATTTTTTTAAAAAAATTATATTAAAATGCTTTAAAACATATAAAGTTAGTATATATTTTAAATACAGGAATTTACTGTGCTATAATTATTCTGGAGCATTATTAACCCCTTTTTTCCCAGGAAGACTTCTTAAAACTTTTAAGAGGTATTGTTTCCGGAATTATTATTATTGTTAAGTGCTTACCAAAAAGGGTATTACAGTTTCTAAGGAATTGAGCTTTTTTCTCTTGAATCAAAGCTGTTTACCTCCATTTCCAGGTGTTTTGCCCTAGCAATTCTTGTAAAAAATAATCTAACCTCTTCTGGCTGTTACCCCTTGGGGCTTAGTGTTCTTTTTGATTATAATAAAAAAATTAAAAACCCTCTTTGAGTAAATACACTATAAAAAATTTTCTATTGGAAATATTATTAGTAGTGATTATCATTGTTACTGGGTATAAATTATGTTTTTCAATGCTTCTATTGTTTTACTTAAAAAAAAATTGTTTAACAAAAAAGGTCTTGGTCCCAGAAATTTTGGATTAGTGAGGTTTGATGTATGTACAAAATTGCTTTTTGCAAAGGAAAAAAATGGGAAAAAGATATTAAATATGAAAAATTTTATTTTTATTAGTGTCCTAAATTTTTAACAGGGTAGAATTAATCTATAACATATTTTTTTGTTTAAAGGCCAAAATCAACAATGTGAAAAAAAAGTTTGCCACGAACCCAAGCAAGACTTTAATCGAAAAAAGCAAAAAAGCAAAAATTATTGAAATAAATCAAAGAAAGGGTCACAAGTTGCTAAATAAAGAAATAGTAATGAAAATGAACCTATTTACTAATGTCCGAGAATAGCGGATAATGATTTCTTTACAAGTTTTACAGTATTAGAAAGTCAATTGAATATTGAACAAAACATTTTTGATTTCCCTTTTTGGGGGGGAAAATTTTTTCAAGGTAAATGTCTCAAGTTATACTGTACAGTACTGAAAATGTATAATTTGTTGATAATGGAGTTTTTTTCCCGACCCAAAAGGGGTTCTTTTTTCCCCTTTTTTTGAAATTAAATACTGTTTTATTTGGGTTCTTGGTGCCCCTGTGAGGCTTGGTGGTTCAGCCGACAGTTTAAATTTTTAGTAAATGTTGCTGTATGATTTGGGTTTTTCCTTTCCATGAAAATTTACTTCAGGCATTTTCCCTTAACCCCGCACCCGCTATTTTTACTTGCAAAAACTTTTTGTTGTGTGAAACCCTTTAATCTCTTAGCAATTTATCCTTTAAAAAAAAAAATGCATTAAAAACAGAGTAAAGATAGTAAACTACTTTGGGAAATGCACAGAAATTTTTCCAGAATATAAATGAAATTTGAGAAATAATAATAAAACAAATTAGTTTACTTATTTTATTCAAGATATTTTACATACAGCTTAAAATGTCACACTGAATTTCTTGTAATTTTTTTCTCAAAACTATAAAATCGGATTAAATGTTAATTCCCTTCAGCTAAAAAATCATCCCTTTCATTCTTATACTTTTCATTGTTAACCTGAATGTCTTGTGGTCCACCCCTGACATTCTTGGCTAACTTTTGTTTGTTTATATACCTTGGGGTCCTGATTTCCAGGAATGGTTCTAGATGTCTTATTTTTGACTTTTCTGGTAGTATGGCTTCTCCCTTCAACAACAAAAACGGGTTCCCTCTTTCATCTTAGCGAACTGATGGCGTAACTTTTCAACACTGTGTGGTGGTTTGTACATTTAGGTTTGGGGGTTTGGGATGTTTGAAAATTTAGGAAGTATCCAAAGAGAGAATGTACCCCAAAAATGCTTGCTTTTCCCCCTGTAAAAATGACAAAATTGTATGTTTTAAAGATTAAATTACAGAAATGTTAAAAGCGGGGGGGGGATGTGTGTTGGGTGGTTTGGTTTTTTTCCCCTTAAACTTCCCGTTACGTTTACACGTGTAGTGCCCCAAAAGTGTCTACGTTTTTTAACTTTTTAAATATAACAAAAAAAAAAAAAAATAAAGTCAAAGTTTTTTTACATATTTAAAGTTGAAAAAAACTTGATCTACGTTTGGGGCAGTTTAAAGGGGTTTTAAATGTATGAAAAAGGGGAATGTACCCAGGGAATGGCAGGGGAGCATGTTAGTCCCTTTATAAAAGGGAAGGGGGGCAAAAGGTTGTAAAAATTTTGAGGAAAAGTTTATGAGTTAAGGAAAAGTTAGGTGGGGTTTTAACTGAAAGATTAGAGTAAGCAGAGTTGGATTGCAGAGGCAGGGTTTTTTTAGAGTGGGGAGGGGAGTGTAGTCAAGTGTTTTTCATTGAAGCTATATGTGAACAGTATTTAGAAAAAGTGGGGAAATTTTTATTGCATTTTGAATTTAGAAAGGCATATGATAGAGTAGTAGGGGAAACAAGTGGAGGTTGAAGTATAAGAAAAGGGGGTAAATTACTAAATGCTGTAGAGGTTTTTATGAGGATAGTGAGGTCAGGTTAGGGTGTGTAGAAGGAGGGAGATACTTCTCGATAAAAAAGGTTTGGACAGGGATGTGTAAATTCACCATGGTTTTTTAATATATTTTTGGGGGAGTTGTAAGGAAGTAAATGTAGGGGTTCGGAGAGGGGTGGGTTAAATTATGGGGAATCAATATAAATGGGAAATTTACACAGTTTCTTTTTGCTGATGATTTTTTGTATTATGGGGGGTTTTAAAGAAAAAATTTCAAAGGTTAGTGGTGAGTTAGGAATGTGTAAAAGGTAGAAAGTTGAAATGAACATGAAAAAAAGTAGGTGATGAGGGTATCAAATGATTTAGATAAAAGAAAATTGGTATCAATTGGGGGGGGAGTATGGAAAAAGTGAATGTTTCGATACTTGGGAAATTGATGTGTCAGTGGATGGATTTATGAAGGATGAGGTTAATCATAGAATTGACGAGGGAAAAAAGGCGAGTGATGTGTTGAGGTATATGTGGAGACAAAAAACGTTATCTATGGAGGCAAAGAAGGGAATGTGTGAAAGTATAGTAATACCAACACTCTTATATGGGTGTGAAGCTTGAGTTGTGAATGCAGCAGCGAGGAGGCAGTTGGAGGCAGTGGAGATGTCTTGTCTAAGGGCAATGTGTGGTGTAAATAAGCAGAAAATTCGAAGTGTGGAAATTAGGAGAAGGTGTGGAGTTAAAAGTATTAGTCAGAGGGCTGAAGAGGGGTTGTTGAGGTGGTTTGGTCATTTAGAGAGAATGGATCAAAGGAGAATGACATGGAGAGCATTTAAATCTGTAAGGAAAGGAAGGCGGGGTAGGGGTCGTCCTCGAAAAGATTGGAAAGGGGTAAGGGAGGTTTTGTTGGCGAGGGGACTTGGACTTCCAGCAGGTGTGCATGAGCATGTTCAATAGGAGTGAATGGAGACGAATGGTATTTGGGACCTGACGATCTGTTGGAGTGTGAGCAGGGTAATATTTAGTGAAGGGATTCACGGAAACCAGTTATTTTTACATAGCCAGACTTGAGTCCTGGAAATGGGAAGTACAATGTGTACACTCTAAAGGAGGGGTTTCGGGATAATAGCAGTTTGGAGGGATATGTTGTGTATCTTTATACGTATAGGCTTCTAAACTGTTGTGTTCTGAGCACCTCTGTAAAAACAGTGCTCATGTGTGAGTAAGATGAAAGTGTTGAATGATGAAAGTATTTTCTTTTTGGGGATTTTCTTTCTTTTTGGGTCACCCTCTCTGTGGGAGAGGGCCGACTTGTTAAAAAAAAAAAAAACTGCTTTTATGACATATTTGTGAATTAAAGAGAATATATATATGACCCATGAAGGAAGAGGGACTTTGGATCCAACAAATTTGAGCTGTCCTCTTCCTTGCCTCAAACCTAATTATGCCCCCTTCCCAGGCACTGTATGCTTCCCTATGGGGTTGGAATTTTCCCATAAATATAAAGTAAGCAACAAATAAATTTAATTTAAAATTTTTATACTAAAAAAGTAAGGTTTCTGAGTAAAGCAGATTACTTATACGTATTTTGTTACAATACAACCTGCTCACTTGGTAAAGAGTTTGAGTTGGAAATTGTGTGTGTCCACGGGATGGTAAGTGAAGGCTGCATGACAAAGTGGATGACATTCACTTGGGTAAAAGCAGTACAGATCACTTACACCATACACCTGAGAAGAATTGCAGTTTTAGTATTATATTAACCAATATATGTACTATATACAGTTTATTGTAACAGGAAATCCACATGCAGACAAAGCTGGGAGAATGGTCGATACATATGTTACTCTGTATTGTCAACTTTCCCTAACATTTTAAATACAATTTTTTAAAAATTATTTTATTTACACTTACACAATGCATGCTACTAATAATTTAGTTTTAATGATGTAATAGTAACTTTATATAATCCACCTCATTTTTCTACATCATTAATTAATTTTTTTTGTACTTATATTATTTAGTTGTAGCTACAGTTAGAGTAAGAGGTAGATGGGAAAAGAGGAAGGTGGCAACAACAAGTAAGAGGGAGGTGAAAGTGTATAAACTAAGGGAGGAGGAAGTTCGGGTGAGATATAAGCGACTATTGGCAGAAAGGTGGGCTAGTGCAAAGATGAGTAGTGGGGGGGTTGAAGAGGGTTGGAATAGTTTTAAAAATGCAGTATTAGAATGTGGGGCAGAAGTTTGTGGTTATAGGAGGGTGGGGGCAGGAGGAAAGAGGAGTGATTGGTGGAATGATGAAGTAAAGGGTGTGATAAAAGAGAAAAAGGTAGCTTATGAGAGGTTTTTACAAAGCAGAAGTGGTATAAGAAGAGCAGAGTATATGGAGAGTAAAAGAAAGGTAAAGAGAGTGGTGAGAGAGTGCAAAAGGAGAGCAGATGATAGAGTGGGAGAGGCACTGTCAAGAAATTTTAATGAAAATAAGAAAAAATTTTGGAGTGAGTTAAACAAGTTAAGAAAGCCTAGGGAAAATATGGATTTGTCAGTTAAAAACAGAGTAGGGGAGTTAGTAGATGGGGAGATGGAGGTATTGGGTAGATGGCGAGAATATTTTGGGGAACTTTTAAATGTTAAGGAAGAAACAGAGGCAGTAATTTCATGCACTGGTCAGGGAGGTATACCATCTTTTAGGAGTGAAGAAGAGCAGAATGTAAGTGTGGGGGAGGTACGTGAGGCATTACGTAAAATGAAAGGGGGTAAAGCAGCTGGAACTGATGGGATCATGACAGAAATGTTAAAAGCAGGGGGGATATAGTGTTGGAGTGGTTGGTACTTTTGTTTAATAAATGTATGAAAGAGGGGAAGGTACCTAGGGATTGGCAGAGAGCATGTATAGTCCCTTTATATAAAGGGAAAGGGGACAAAAGAGACTGTAAAAATTATAGAGGAATAAGCTTACTGAGTATACCAGGAAAAGTGTACGGTAGGGTTATAATTGAAAGAATTAGAGGTAAGACAGAATGTAGGATTGCGGATGAGCAAGGGGGTTTTTTAGAGTGGGTAGGGGATGTGTAGATCAGGTGTTTACATTGAAGCATATATGTGAACAGTATTTAGATAAAGATAGGGAATTTTATTGCATTTATGGATTTAGAAAAGGCATATGATAGAGTGGATAGAGGAGCAATGTGGCAGATGTTGCAAGTATATGGAATAGGTGGTAATTATTAAATGCTGTAAAGAGTTTTTATGAGGATAGTGAGGCTCAGGTTAGGGTGTGTAGAAGAGAGGGAGACTACTTCCCAGTAAAAGTAGGTCTTAGACAGGGATGTGTAATGTCACCATGGTTGTTTAATATATTTATAGATGGGGTTGTAAAGGAAGTAAATGCTAGGGTGTTTGGGAGAGGGGTGGGATTAAATTATGGGGAATCAAATTCAAAATGGGAATTGACACAGTTACTTTTTGCTGATGATACTGTGCTTATGGAGATTCTAAAGAAAAATTGCAAAGGTTAGTGGATGAGTTTGGAATGTGTGTAAAGGTAGAAAGTTGAAAGTGAACATAGAAAAGAGTAAGGTGATGAGGGTGTCAAATGATTTAGATAAAGAAAAATTGGATATCAAATTGGGGAGGAGGAGTATGGAAGAAGTGAATGTTTTCAGATACTTGGAGTTGACGTGTCGGCGGATGGATTTATGAAGGATGAGGTTAATCATAGAATTGATGAGGGAAAAAAGGTGAGTGGTGCGTGAGGTATATGTGGAGTCAAAAAACGTTATCTATGGAGGCAAAGAAGGGAATGTATGAAAGTATAGTAGTACCAACACTCTTATATGGGTGTGAAGCTTGGGTGGTAAATGCAGCAGCGAGGAGACGGTTGGAGGCAGCGGAGATGTCCTGTTTAAGGGCAATGTGTGGTGTAAATATTATGCAGAAAATTCGGAGTGTGGAAATTAGGAGAAGGTGTGGAGTTAATAAAAGTATTAGTCAGAGGGCAGAAGAGGGGTTGTTGAGGTGGTTTGGTCATTTAGAGAGAATGGATCACAGTAGAATGACATGGAAAGCATATAAATCTATAGGGGAAGGAAGGCGGGGTAGGGGTCGTCCTCGAAAGGGTTGGAGAGAGGGGGTAAAGGAGGTTTTGTGGGTAAGGGGCTTGGACTTCCAGCAAGCGTGCGTGAGCGTGTTAGATAGGAGTGAATGGAGACGAATGGTACTTGGGACCTGACGATCTGTTGGAGTGTGAGCAGGGTAATATTTAGTGAAGGGATTCAGGGAAACCGGTTATTTTCATATAGTCGGACTTGAGTCCCGGAAATGGGAAGTACAATGCCTGCACTTTAAAGGAGGGGTTTGGGATATTGGCAGTTTGGAGGGATATGTTGTGTATCTTTATATGTGTATGCTTCTAGACTGTTGTATTCTGAGCACCTCTGCAAAAACAGTGATAATGTGCGAGTGTGGTGAAAGTGTTGAATGATGATGAAAGTATTTTCTTTTTGGGGATTTTCTTTCTTTTTTGGGTCACCCTGCCTCGGTGGGAGACGGCCGACTTGTTGAAAAAAAAAAAAAAACTCAGATCATTCAACAGCATAAATATATAGTAAATGTATCTCATGCTTATTCACACATCTATGCTCCCCTTTTCATGAATTTTAATAGTGCACAAGTGTCAGTTATTTTTACTCTTTTCATTTGCATATATGTACTATACTGTATATAAACAGTGAGTAAAAATATACACATCCAGTATTTTATGAGGCACATTTCCTGTACACTCTCCTTTTTTTTTTTTCAACTTATCAGCGGTCTCGCACTGAGGCAGGGTGAGCCAAAAAAAGGTCTCTTGATCCAAGGAATTGGTGATATCCTCACCTTCCTTATATCAAACCTGATTGCCTCTCATTTTCAGGTGCTATGAGACCCTTAACCCGTTAACTGTCCAAACACAGATCTACTTTCCAGCGCTGCGAATGTTTTGAAGAAAAAAACAAAAATTAAAGAGGGCAATTTTCTGTGTATAATAAGACCAAAAAACAATTTTTTTAGGACTAGCACTTACCAACATATAAGACTGCAAAGTTGGTTCTGGATGCTCACCTGACGGCAACGTGGAGTCTGAAACTTGCAGAAGTGTTGCCGATATACCTTTTTTCTCATTTTTATATTATTTTATATAATTTTTATGTGCTGATAATTACAATTTATAGTAGTTCTTGTGATTTCATAGCCAATCTTTGTTCTGACACTGACATTAGGTACTGAAATTGTACTCAGTCACAAACACACTGACAGGTGAACATATTCACCTGCCTTGGTCATTTGCTATTGTCTAGAAATATATACAAAGTATTTATAGGTCCCAGTAATGTTTTAGACATGCTGGAGTATATACGAGACTCCTTGAAGCATGGTGTAAGACTGTCACTAAACTGCTGACAGTGTAGCAGTATTTGACACTTGATGAACATGCACTGCTCCAGGAAACCCCTGGCTTTGTTTGTTTTCACTGTTTCACATAAACATGTCTGTCTGTCTAGCTATGTCTGCTTATCTGTCTGCCTGTGTATATGTCTGTCTTTCTGTCTGCCTGTGTGTGTGTCTTTCTGCCTGCCTGTGTGTGTGTGTACATCTGTCTCTGTCTTCCTGTGTGTGTGTCTGTCTCTGCCTGTATGTTTCTGTCTGCCTATGTGTGTGTCTGTCTTTCTGTCGGCTTGTCTCTCTTGTCTCAGAGAGCGGCTCATGAACCAACGGGATGCAGAGTCGTCAGACTCGCAACGTCTGATTTCTGATCAAGCAAAGTGCGTATTACTTGCCAGTCATGCTATTATGTCTTATATCTACAAGCACAGTACAGCACTTTGTCTGGATATTTTGGTTTATCCTAGGTAATTTACACTATGTATACTGTGATTGTATTTATGTGTACCTGTGAGATAGAGACAGGCAGACAGAGAGATAGACAGAGATAGATACAGACAGACAGACGAAGACAGACAGCCAATCAGCCAGCCAGCTGGCTAGCCAGTTGCCGGCCAGTCAGCCTGCTGAACATGTATTACACTTTCCAGAATTGTTTCTTTTTACTTAGGGCAGAGGTTATAGGACATTCTGGCAGGATGACACTACCAGTGGTACCAAAATGTTGACACTACCAGTAGTACCAAAATGTTGCACATGGGTTACTATTGAGGTTTTTGATATTTCTTCAACCACTTGTGGCCACATCTACCTCAAAGCCACTAAACTCAGGGTCAACATCACTTTCCTCTTAAAAGGGGAGTGTTAATATAACACGACATCAGTAAATCCCACGTGTTTTCTGCGCTGTTGGCTCTAGCTGGTGCTCAATTGAACTGGTGATCCCACAAGGTACTAAGAGGTCCCAGATTTTTTAATACTGCGCACACCAAGTGTTAAGACCAGGCATCTCAGGCCAATCGTGCCAAATTTGGAAGCAGGAGAAATAAAATGTAGATCTACATTTGGAGCGCTATTGGTAAGAACGTAGATCTACGTTTAGACAGTTAATGGGTCAATTGTTTAGACAATTCTTATGAATATATTAGTTATAATCTACAGTTATAGGCTTTCTTTCAATACTTTTAGAATATACTTTCATTAATTTGATAAAGTAAAATAAACAAAAAGATTGGCGATTTTGCTTTTATGACATTACAATAGTTGGTACTGTTAATTTACCTACAACGCTAATTTTTTTTAAAAA